CAATTTACTAGCGGTACCGAAGTGGGCCGGTCGAGAGTCCCGGGATGATTTTTAGTCCCAGTCCACCACTGGCTACATGACCGTATGATCGCCCATATTGACGCACCTAATTCCTAAACTTCTAACAGATACAACATAAACTGATCCTTCAGACACGTTCAAAATGAAACTGTCATCGCTGTCATCGCTTGCTGCTGTGTACGCCATCGTGCGTTTACATGCAGATGCTGGGATCCTGAACGGTGCAGCTGGAGCGCTGTGCCCGCAATGACGTCACACATAATTTGGCGGGACTTGAAGAATCCCCGAGAAGATCCAGAAAATGGTCAACATTGAAGGGCAGATTAATGGTTATCAAAGTACAAATATCCAAAATCAGTTCAGTAACGGTTTTCAAGGGGACAATATTTACTCAAATTGATGGGTTTGGATGATGGGGGAAACTCGTGTCACATGCTCTTTAATGGTTGGAATAAGAAGTGGGGCTAGGTTCAGGGTTTGCATGCATATTTTCCAAGTTCAATACAAAACAATACCAGCTTTTCCCCCATAATTTATAGATTCAATAATATTAGAGATCCCACTAAATCACACAATTTTTTTTAATCCAAAATCCCTAATACCTTTTTCACCAAGGTCTAGACACCATCTCCAGACAGGAGAGGGGTATGCTGATGTGTTATTGACAGTGCCGGTCCATGTGGGAATAAATATCACTGAGGTGTGAATTCACCTTAAGAACTGTTGGTCTTATATTCCTCAATTGTCTCTCAACTGAATCAATAAGAGTCACTGCTTTTTTCCCCTGTGTCCTCAGAAACAAGGATGAGATCATCATTGTTCCTGAGGGTTCCAACAAGGATTATGTAGTGCTTTGTTCTGTCATTTGCCCCTGTTCAAAGGTGAGGTGACACATGCATGTTGTCAGACACTGTTGGAAGTCATGTCCTGATGCTGAATAAGGAAGAACAAGTGAGAAAAGAGCAAAAAGATGCAAACAGCCAAATGTAATTGCATAGCGTTGAAAGCAGCAGTGACATATTGGAGACATCAGTGCCAACATCTTCGACTAACTGAAGGAGGCACATTTCTTTTTGGCTTTGTGAGTCTAAGTGATTTTCGTGGTCTTTGTCTCTTCAAGTTAGCGTAACACTATCTACTGCGTCCATGGACTGGGAAAAGACACTCGATTGTGAATGTCATTGCCAATAAAAACAAAAATTCTATACCGTATGTCCTTTGTTGTTCTGAGCTGGATTCAATTCAAGCAAACTATACAATATGCAATTTTACATCTCAATTGGCTGGCTAAAGAGTCTCTGAGACTTGCCTTTTGCAGTGCTTGCTCTTTTTAATACTAAAATGCAAATGGCTTCACAAAGTATAAAACTACCGTGAACACCTGCTGGAGATTGCATCTATTAATTAGTTTGTAATAAACAAAGCAAAAAGCCCAGGAAGGGTTGCAACAGGGGTTTTGCTTTTTGAGAAAAAAAACCCTCAGAACTCTGAGTAGACAAAGAAAAGAGAAACAACATGTCACTCAAAGAGATTCTCTCACCCACCTGATGCGACAATGATCCCCGGCGCTGAGTCCCTGCTGGCTATGTTTCCAGATGTGTAGGGATTTGCGGAGACGTGTAGATGGAGATGTAATGAACAGTAGGGCTGCAGAAAAAAAAATCACAGACTTATCAAAACTCTTCAAAAGACGCCTGTGAATAAAACAGCTGTTGTGTTGATGCACAACCCTCCCAAGTCCCGAGTTTTATCACAAACACCATTTCCCCCATTGGCTTCTTTCACCATTAATTTTGATTGGGTTAACCTTTACCGTCACAATTCTCATTACGACCCGGCAGAATGCCAGAAGTGCAGGCCATGCTGTGACTGGCTGTTTAGAGGTTTATTAAAACTCTGACATTTCCTGACAAATGAGTGTACAATATGTCTGGAGGGGCTCGGCATTCCACACAATCACTAATTGGTTTATCAAAAAAGGGCAATTGTTTTCACACACGGATAAAAACGATCATACTATGATTTTGTGTTTAACTTATACAAGAAATTACTAATAGTTTTCTTTTACTCAAAATCTTTCCTTTTATTTAAAGGGGACCTATCATGCAAAATGCACCTTTGTACGTCTTTTATACATGAATATGTGTCCCCGGTGTGTCAGGGAACTCACCAAGTGTCAGAAAACACAACCCTCTCTCTTTTCCTCCATACCCAAAATCTTTAAAACGGGGTTGCAACGGATCTGATACAGATTTGAAAATAGTGTGACGTCAGTGTCGAGGAGCTCCGCCTATATGGGCAACTCTCCACCTATCAGGGGAATGAGAGGTTGCCGTGGCATGGTAACAGCATGGTAACATGATGCTCGTAACTCGGTCCCCTCCTTTGCAGGGGGGCGTGGTCAGCTGCAGCGCATGCAAAGACATGGGTGGAGGAGAGCAAAATAGAGCGAAATGAGGCATGGCTAAAATGCATAATCTGTTAGGTATTTTGAAAAAGAAAACGTATACAACCCAACAATATATTATTCAAATATAGCATGATAGGTCTCCTCTAATGTGTTACCTGAAATTTTGAATCTTCATTTTGATGAAGTATATTTAAATCATAGCACCAAGTAAATGTTAACTAAAGTAATGTGTTGACCTACAACCTGTGAAAATCTAGTCAAATGTACAGGGCAATGGGAGTAAAGGTGGGCGACGCCCCCGATGAAGTCAGAGGAGTTTGCGAACAGTACAGTTAGTGATGGAATATTCGCGGCTCTTTTTAGTGAGCCGGATCATATTGGCTCGGTCAGCAAGAAGAGCCGGCTCTTTCGGCTCCCCAAGATGGCTGACATCAAATCTTGCTGAGCCTAGAGATAATCATAAATAAATAACATAGCCGAAAATAAATATATTGCAATTCTCAAAACAGCAGCAGGCCCAACGGTCTCTAATAAAAAAAAACATAATTACAAATAAATGTTTGCCAATGTGCAAAACCAGCAGCATCCAACAGTCTCTCAATCCTTGATATTAACATGTCACTGCATGCATGCACGGAGCAGCCCGTAGCGCGGAGAATCAATCATATCATTTCTGTCTTGTATTACTTGAGCAACAAAAAAAAAGGGCTCGTTCGCGGGCGCGAGCCGGCTCGTTCACAAAACCGACACATCACTACAGTACAGATAATTGAAAAAAAGCAGATGGTCCAGTTGAAGAGAAGCATGGACCCTTGTCCTAATATGTAACTCATGGATTTTGAATCATGTAAGTACATTTTTGTACTTTATTAACTCTGTACATCCCTGTTAGTTGTTAGCTTAATGTGGATATCAAACGAACCTTAGCTAACGTCAGGTGTTTCAGCTTAGCAATTTAGTTAGTTAGCGTGCTTGCGAATTCCGCTCTGCTTTCATGGATGCGGCACACACAACATGTGGTTTAGTGGTTGCTTCAATTAGTCAACAGCTGGCCGAAATTCACCGTTTGAATAAAAACTGGCAGTGTGGGAATTAGGTAGTTCAGAAGAGAGTTTTTTTACTTGGCGGGGGGTGGTGTTTGCGGTACATTTTGCAAAGCCAGTGTTGCCCCAAACTGAGTTTTCCTTTACTGTGGAGTCAAGTTTAGTTCACTCACATGCACCGGACTGTGTATGATGGACATGTGTGCTTTTATTTCCCGTGTAACAGTGAGACGGATAGCAGCCCAGAATCTAAAAAAAAGGGTATGTCAGCATTCACGCCATGCCGCTGCTCTGTGTAAACTGCCTGGTGCCAGTCTGTGATGCGACCTGTTCTTCCTGCAGCCAAAGAAGGAGAAGGGTTATCAAGGAAGGCCTACTGGGACAAGGGTTGTGGGGCCTCCTTCTGTAGGCGCGTTAAATTGAAGTTAAGGCAATAATCTTTGGTTTCCAATATTGAAGATTGAAGATTCAACTTATTGTCATTACGGTACAGGTACATGTAAAAAACGATTTCTCTGCATTTGACCCCATCCTAGTGTTAGGAGCAAGTGGGTCTGCCATTATGTACGGCACTGGGGAGCAGTGTAGGGAACGGTGCCTTGCTCAGGGACACCTCGGCAGCACTTGGTCTTTCCGGGAATTGAACTGTGACTCTTCCAGTTGCCGAAGTCAAGTCCCTATGGACTTTGCCACCAATATATCTGTCTGTACTTACAGTTATTTTTGTTTGCTACAATAATTGACATGTGTGGGTGGGTTGACATAATTCACCCACGGAATTATGGGTGGGAAGATTGTTCGCACGGACAATTTTAGTTAGCCGGACTTACTGTTTCCCCGGTCAGTTATTCCCGGGCTTGAAGTTGTTTACCATGCTGTTTGATGTCTAACATTAAACTAGCTTTGTCCTTTGACACACCGCCTCAGACTCCCCCGTCACTCCGCACTACATGGTGACACCCGAACATACAGTAAGTCTTGTGAAGTAATCCGAGACTGAACCGAACATGGCCAAATACGCAGTTTTCTCAGACTGCCCGGAGTTTTTGGGAGACGTCTCGGGCTGTATGGTTCGCACAGACGGAGATGACGACGCAGGCAAGCTATCCTACACGTTCGCTTCTATAACGGACATTCTTGTGAAGCTTCACGGGTCGGCTCGGACGTAGTTGCTTATTAGCATCTCCCCCTGCCCAAAAAAAAAATGTGCACGCGTTCAAGGCTTCCTGCAAAAGACTTTTAGTTGTCAGCGCCTGGTTCGCGTATTGCATAGCCTGGGAGAGCAGGCAAGGCCTTTCCGACACATGGAGATGATGCTTGCAACCTGCTAGGTAACGCGAAAGAAACCCAACTTTTTGTTAACGGAACTGTTTCTTCTCGGGCACCATGCCAACGCCGCATGTCCAGGCAGCGGCTCGCTAAACCACGGCTAGTACTGA